CCCCAGGAGCACACCCCCAGCCAGCCTCACCCCCTTCCTCCCCCCCGAAACAAGCTCCCCAGGAGCCGGTCCCAGTGGAAGAAGCAGGGCAGTGATTTATTTGCACAGAGTATGTGCCCGTAGGATGGAGCTACCGCTGCCGTGGCTGAAAAGAGATTTGGGAGAGGGATGGGAATGGAGCAGAATTCCCTGGAGGTGCCCTCTGCTCCGTGCCTCAGTTTCCCCTTCTGTAAAGCAGCCCCCTTTGCTAAGGGAGGAGCGGAGAGGAGTGATGCTGGGACAGACCGATGGCCACTCCTGGGTCACTGCCCAGCTCCCGTGGCTATGCCAACACCTCTGGCAGGGTGAGGGCTCTGTCTGCCAAGCTTTCCTTGTTTTGAGGCACCCCCAGCTCCCTGCAGTCACCCCAACACGGGCAGTTGCTCAGGGCACCCGGGCACTTTGCAGCTTAAGGTGTAGAAGGAGGAGCGGAGAGACAGGACAGGCTGGTGGGGAGATGCTGGGGGACAGCCACAGCTCCCAGGAGGAGATCAGGCCAGGCACATCCTCACCTCCCCACCCGGCTGGGCTTTCCTGAGCCTCCCCTCTGCCACCATCAGCCCTTGGACTCCAGGAGAGGCTTCCCTGCTCCCACCACCACGCTCTCTCACTCCCTGCCTTTCCCAGCCCCTGAGCACCCACCCCCTGGAGATGAACACCCACCCAACCGGGGCAGGGAAGGGGAGGCTCTGCCAAGCCCAGGAACCATCTGCAGGCTTAAAACAGCCCAAAATGCAGCCGCCCTGAGGTGGGGGCTACAGAGCACCCAGCCCAGGGTGCTGCTGGCAAGGCACTGGGTGCAGCCAGGAGCACCCCAAGTTGATGCTCGGTCAGAGACCGGAGCAGAGCCACACTGCCCGACGCTGCCTGATGCAGCACAGCCCAAGTGCCACAGCCCCATGGCAAATCCTGGGCTCAGGGAACCCCCTGCACCCAACCTCGGCCCCCAGAAAGCACCCTGGGGCTGCCCCAGCCCAGAGGGACCCAGCTGGGAGGACCAGCACCCCCAGTCTGCCATCTCCTCCTTCAAATACCCGGGCTGAGCCTGCTGGCTCCGGGGGGTGGGGGCATAGCTGCTGCACCCCCAGGGCTGGGGGAATAGCTGCTACCTGTCCCCCCAGGGCTGGGGGAATAGCTGCTATCTGCCCCCCCAGGGCTGGGGGAATAGCTTCTGCCCCCCAGGGCACACAGCACTCCATCTCCCCCCCACCCTGTCCCCAGGGATGGCCGCCAGCCCTCAGCCTGGCACAGGGGAATAAAACTCCGCTGCAAATGAGAACTAATCTCAGCAATTTGAGCGGCTGCTGCTCTTCCCACCGAGAAATCTTGCTTAGCCGGCGGATTTCTGAGTTAAATAAAGATGCCAGGGCGCAAGCTCTCCCCGCATGAGAGCCCCCTTTGCCGGCTGAGCGCCTGTGCAGGCTGACCTCAGCGAGGAGGCTGCTCGCCGGGGCTCGGAGGGCAGTGCCGGTGGGAGATGGGGCTGGGAATCCAACACCTGGGCTGCCCGTGGGCTCCGTGAGAGGCTGCAGCCCCCCCCCTGGGAGAAGAGACCCCACCGAAGCCACATATGACACTGGTGGGGCGGTGGGAGATGGGGCTGGGAATCCAACACCCGGGCTGCCCGTGGGCTCGGTGAGAGGCTGCAGCCCCTCCTGGAATAAGAGACCCCACTGAAGCTGCATATGGCACTGGTGGGGAAGATGGGGGGGGATGAGCCACAGAGACCAAACGAGTGGCCTGGGGGCTTGCATGTGGTGGTCACTTTGCCAAATCTTTGTGCATACACACACACACACACACACACCCCCAAGGATAGAAGAGCAGGATGAAGTGAGTCACTAACGATGTGCATCACTAATGATGCGCAGCTGTGGCTGGGGAGGAGCACGGGCAGCACTGGCCGGCACCGAGGGGCTACAAGAAGAGCAGGGCTGAGCCACAAACAGTGGCTGGGGGCTGTGACCCGAGGGTGAGGACAGGTGCCCGGCTCTCACGGCACTTTTACAAGCTTGGTCATGATGCCACGCAACCCCCCGTGGGCATGCTGCCCTCCCTGCAGCCCCCTGCCAGCATGGGGGGAGACACGGTGAGTAAGGACAGAGAGACCAGCAAAGAGTCCAGCTCTCTCAGCCTCCCTCCTCTGCTGCACCGGGCACCCCCTGCCAAGAGAGAGACATGGAGACATGTCTCCCCTCCCCATGGACACAAACGGGCATCTGGGCCCTTGGAGGGACTGGGAGGCCCTGCAAGCCCTGATGGTTGCCAGGCTCCTGCATCCTTGCCCAGCTCTGCCCCATCAGGCTGCTCATCCCCTCCTATCCACCGGCACAGGCACGCTTCCACAGCAGTGTCTGCGCCCCCCCAGCTCCCCGCACCCCAATACACCCTCTACCACTATGTGCTCTGCACCCCATGGCACCCCTGTGCCCTCCATCCCTACCCAACCTGCATCCCCTGCACTACCCATCATCTCACCCCCCACCCCAGTTCACCCCCATTCCCCCCCAGTTGCCGGAGAGCCGGGCTTCCCATCCGGAGCTGGGAGGAGGCTGGGGGGTGGGAGGGGGATCAGGCTGCCAGAGTTGGGGTTGCCCTCGGATGCACCCTTCAAACACACGCCGGATGCCAGTGCTCGCCCCTGCACCCCGTTGCACGCCGCTGCCCGCCTCTGCCTGCAGCCTGCAGCCCCCTGCTTCTGCCTGCACCCCTGGGGCTTGCTGAAAAACCTCCTGCCCTCGCACCAGGCACTTACAGGACCCAGTGTGTATGGGGTGGGGGGTGTGTGTGGAGGGGGGGGTGCCTAGGACACGCAGCCACAACCGCCTGCTCGCCCTGCAGTGTTGCCCCCCTCCCCGACAAGCCTTTCCCTTCGCCAGGAGGAAGAGCTCGTCCGTGAGAGCCGCTTCTACTTGCGAGGCTACGGGCTGGGCCACTGCCTGCAGCCCAAGGATGGGGCTGCGGAGGGTCCCAGCATCTACAGCCCCCCCCCCCCGGCCGGGGTGCTGCTGCGGGAAGGGGAGAACCTCCACAGGCGCTACATCGACCGGGCCAAGCGCATCGACACCGTCTCCCGAGCCGTCTTCCCTTTCACCTTCCTGGTCTTCAACATCTTCTACTGGGTGGTCTACAAAGTGCTGCGCTCGGAGGACATCCACTCGGTGCCCTGAGGCCCGGAGAAAGCGTGATGGCCGCTCAGTCTGACCCCCCCACAGTGACACAGGGTGCCACGAGCTCAGCCAGAACCATGTTTCCCTCTGTCCCGGAGCAGCGGCACAGCCGGGCTGGGCCTCAGAGCCTGGAGACGTGGCAGCCCCCATATCCCTTTGGATGCCGGGGCACCCAGGGGGGGATCAGCGACCCCAGATCCCCACAATTAGCTGGAGAGAGGGACCCCTCCTGCAGGGTGTCACCCCCGGGTACCCAGGGATGCTGTGCTGCTGGGGGAGCCCCAGGTCCCCAGGGATGCTGCACCGCCGTGGGGCAGGGGGGAGCCCCTGGTGTTTTGGGACACTGCACAGCTGGTGGCCGGGGAACACCACCTTCCAGCCAAACACCCTCCACCCCTCTGCACCTTCCACTTTTCCACGCTGCATCACCGAGCCCTTGGGCCACCAGCAGCCAGGCCAGAGGCTGCAGCCCTCTCTCCTCCCCTGGCCCGCAGCTCGGTTGCAGGAAAGAGCAAGCAGCACCCCTGCCTGCACCCAGACTGTGTGGGGTGCTGGCTACGGCCCCATAGCCCCCAGGCCAGCAACGGACAGGGCCCCTACAGCCCCCCAACCAGCTCCAACGCACAGCAAAGCAGCCGGTCGGGGATGCTTCCCTCCCTGCAGAGCCCAGGGCTGCCCGTGATGCCCATGGCCGCAGGCAGGACTGTGGCAGGGACGCTGGGCAGGAGGTACCCTTCCCTCTGAGGAAATGCCAACCCCGGGGCAGGCAGCAGGTGAGCCCCATCCTGCTGATGGGGAGGGGGTTTCCCTCACCATTGCACCACCTGCAATCCCACCATTGCAGCCACAGGTGGGATCTGCTTGGCACTGAGGAGCTGGCACTGGACTACCTGCAGGGTAGGGTCCACAGCCCGTCTTCCAGGAGGGATTTTTCAGGATGAAAGTCGTGGGGACAGCTTGGCCGATCCCTTCGGAGGAGCAGAGCGAGCGGTGGCATCCCCAGGCTGCTGGGTTCCCAGGGCACAGCAGTGCCAGCAGAGAGCTGGAGGTGAAAATCACCCTGTTCCCCAGCTTTCTCTCCACCCCGGAGCCCAGGCATGGCGTCCCCCAGGGGGGGGTTCAACCCCCACTGCTCCTCCACCGGAGAGGAGAGCATCCGAAACCTCAAGAGGACAAGCTCAGCAAGGCTTCCAGCCCTCCAGACCTGGATATCCTCCGTGCTTAGCAGGAAATAAAAGCAGTAGGTGATGTTTACGTAGGTCCTACAGAGAGAAACGTGTTGATGCTCTCCTTTCCCCCTGCTCACAGCCAGCCCGGGGGGGCTCGCAGCCCAGCAGGGTCTGTGTCCCCACGGCCCCAGGTGGAGGACATGGCCCAGGGTCTTCCAGGAAGGGCAGAATGGAAAAGGGAATTGCCCTTTTTCTTGGAAGCTGAGGTGCTACCCATGGCATGGCGAAGGCCCTGGTGACCTGCTTGTCATGGCCAAAGGGACCCTGCGGGGCAGGGGGACGTGGGTGGGAGGCCAGCACTGCCTGCTGAAGCCAGACCAGGGCAGGAACCCCCACCATGGCCCCTGGGTAGGCATCACCCTCTCCCTTGCATGACTCACTGGGAGCAAAGCCCCACACCCCACGCCCAGCCCCCCCGAACCCCACAGAGCGCTCACCTGCATGCACCCATTTCACAGACGGGGCAAGCAGAGGAACAACTGGCCCCAGGCCATTCCCAGGACCCACCAGGATGGGCCAAGCCAGCTCCACCCCACCACCACGCATGCCTTCCCCACCGGGGTTCCCCGCGGGGCCCCACCGTGTGTCCAGGCCAGGCTTTCGAGACTCGTTTTTGGGGAGGCCCCATTTGGAGGCGGAGGAAGGGGTGCACCTCGCCTCGCCCAGCACCCTTGAGGCCGAGCCCAACGGGGAGGTGCCAAGCCACCCTCTAGCAGCGGTGGGTTTTTAAACAGCATCGATCTTCCTACGCCAATAAAGCTTTTGTGGGATTTTCAGTGGTGTGCGGGGGGTTTGTCTCTGCTGAGCACCCTGAGGCCAGCTCCAGCTCCCGGTGGGGACCTCCGTGTGTGGGAGGGACATGGGGACGAGGGTACAACAGCCCTGTGGGGACAGGAGCCCTGAGCTGCCATTGCACCCAGGTATCGTTACCTCCGTGGGTGATTTTCCTGGCGTAATTAGGGGTGACTGTGGGTTTTATCTCCCTCCTGAGATGCCAGCAGGGCTGGGTGGGAGCCACCTGCGAGCTCCCAGCCCCAAACCCCATCACCCTCCTCCTCTCCCCAGCTCTTTGGGGCGCTCCCCGTGGATCACCCCAGCTCCTTTCCACCCCAGGCAATCTCGGCCAGGGGACCCAAAATGGGGCAGATGTGGGGTTGGGGCGGGGGTCCCCACCTCTGCAGTGGAGCTCAGACACCCGACCATGGGCGAGCGGCCCGACGGGCGAGCCTCCCCCTGCGGCCCCTTTGCAGCGCCTTGCTGGGTGGGTGCCAGCCTTACAGAGCTGCCAGCTGTCCCCGGGGGGCTTACGCCAGCCCTGCAGTGCCACCCGGGGCTGGTTCTTTTGTCCCCAGCTGGCGCGGGGGCAGGCAGAGCCCACAGCTGAGGGCCGAGCGCCCAAAGCAAACATCAATCTCCCCTCTGTCCTCCCGGCCAAGTCCCACAGACCCGTCTCTGTTGGTACCTCACAGCCCCATCGCCCGCCCGGCCCCACGGAGGATCTCCTGCAGTGGGGAGGAGAGAAAGCGAGGTGCCCCCACGCCGATGTGGGGCTGGGGTTGTTCTTTAGATGGGACAAAGCAATCCCCCCCTCTGAGGTCTTGCTCTTGCCCCCCACCTCAAACCTAGAGAGGACGCAGCCAAGGGGAGAGGGGGGAGATGTTTCACGCCAGCGCGGTGCGTCCAGAGAACCAATGAGTCCCAGAAAAATGAAAATGGTAAAAACCCAACACATCCTTCTTAAGCTAAAGCTCCCGGGTCCCCACACACTGGTCGTGGCAAGGTGAGGGGGGCTCTGCTGGCACGGAGCTAGCAAAGGCATGAGGAGATCGCTGCCCACAGCCCCACAGGGCTCAGGTGTCCCTGGAAGAAGTTTCAGCTCCTGTCCCTGGTCCTCCCAGCAGCCCAGTTTGGACTGGGAGCCACTGGGACACCTACACAGCTGCAGGGCTGTCACTGCCCTCCAGCACGCAGCTCCAGCAGGTCCCTCACACCCTGGGGACAGTGGCAGAGGCCAGGCTGGGGATGCTGAACCCTGCGCTCTCCCACAGGTCACAGCGTGGCCAGGGGTCAGCCCAGGTGGCTCCATCCCTCAGGAAAACCCACAGCCTTTGGTTGGAATGGGCTTTCCTTTTCCTACCTGGGGCTGTGCACTGGGGGACACGTCCCAGCCACCACAGGAAGAAGCAGTGGGCACAGGAACAACAACCACGGCCAAGTTAATTGCTGGTTTAAATGGAAATTAGTGGAGTTACACCAGGTTATGGGGCTCCCAGAGAGTAAAATGAGCATCATTGGCACTGGTAGCTTCCCGACAGCCTGCCAGTGGCACACCCAGAGCTGGGCAGCCATGGGCACACACAGGTTTGGGGCAGCATGGCCACTTGCCAGCCCCAAAGGGTGCCTGCATGAGCCTGAGGAAACGTGCCCATGGCTGGGCACTGCAACAGCATGGCAGTTAGCTCCCTCCTCCAGCAACCACAGAGGGCCTGATCCTGCTGGAGCTGAGCTCTGCCGCTGTGCATGGTGGCATCGGGGAGCCAAACCTTCCCTTCCCCCCCACTTCCAATTCCCTCACGGAATCATGGAATTGTTGGAGTTGGAAGGGACCTTCTAGAGATCATCTAGTCCAACTCCCCAGCCAAAGCAGGGTTGCATCCAGGTGGGTCTTGAAGATTTCCAGAGAAGGGGACTCCACACCCTCCCTGGGCAGCCTGTTCTGGTGCCATCACCTCACCAGCACCTCTTGCCTGCACCCAGAGCCTGGAGCTGCCTTGGAGCGACGCTGACTGCCAGAGGTTTAGCAAACCACCCTGTTCGGATGGATCGATGCCCAAGGGACAGCTCATTCCATGCTGTTTGGGACATCAGGTTTGGAGCCAGGTGAGTTCAACCCAACACAAACAAGTGACAGCCCTGCCAGGGCTCTGAGCACTCAGCACCCTTCACACTTCGCCCAGGCATGGATTATTTATTTTTTTTTTAAGAAAATATCCAGCTCCAAAGTCAGCCAGACAGTCCTGAGTGGGCCAGGGCTGCTCCTTACAAATGGGGAAACTGAGGCATGAGGAAAGCACCAGGAGCTGGACTGGCAGGGAGCCCTGCTGGGATCTGGCCATGCCACAGTGCACGGAGCCCTCGTAGGACCAGGGACCTACTGAGGCCAACCCTGTGAGGGCAGGATCCTTCCACCCCAGGAAAGCTCCAGGTGTGGGATGTTCAGGCAGCGTGAGCCCCAGCCCTCAGCATAGCTTCCTCCCCTTGGAGAGAGAAGCCCAGGAGCCAAGGGGCACTTTGCCCCCCAGGGCACCCCTGCCATCTAAGCTGCAGCATCACACCACAATCCATCACCTCCACCCCCTCAGAGGGGCATCGCTGGTGCCCTGCCAAACCGCATGCCCCCACGGCCACATCCACCACCCCCCCAGCATCCCTTTGGGACCATGGAGGCCATGGGGCACCCCACAGGCTCCCCAGCCCATGGACAGGTGGGTCAGGTACTGCCAGGAGAGGGGCAGGGGGGCAGGCAGGACACTCAGGAAGGGGTAGGGAGGGAAGGCTGGAGCCTGGGGACATGCAGGGATCAGCCCTGCAGCGCTCCCAAGCCCTGGGAATACGGGATAACTGCCTGCCTCCGGGCTGGGGGTTTGCACAAGCTCCCAAGCCCTGGGAATACGGGATAACTGCCTGCCTTTTGCACAAGAAAAAAAAACAACCACAAAGCGATGAGGTTTTCCAGCCCTCAAAGTGGCTTGTTTTGTCCCACTTTGAGGGGCTGGAGCGCAAAGGCTTCTCAAGGGGCAGGGGGAGGACGCCGCCACTGAAACAAGGAGCAATTATCAGGCCAGAGGCTCTGAAGAGCTTTTGTTCCCTGGATGCGCCAGAGCAGGGATGGGAGGACACCTAGCGAGATGCCTCGATGGCCCCGCGCACCAGCGGCACCCAGAGCCCATCACCGTGGCAGTCCCCTGCCCCACAGCGGTCCCATCCTGCTCCCCTCTTCCTGCCATGGTGGGGCTCCAGGAGGAGAGCTCCAGCGAGGCCGCAGGGGCTGATCCAGCCCTGGGGGAGATGAAGACTCGGCTCCTCATTCCCCATTTCTCACTGCTACCTTGGCAGGGAGAGCCTCCATGTCTCCCCGAGAGGCCACACACGCTGCCAACACTGATACCTCCGGCAGGATGAGCCCCAGCAGTGCTCACAGCTAGGCAATTCCTGCAGAATTCCTGGGATTAAAGCTGGGCCTCACCTCAGAGACTGCTGACCGGGGATGCAGGTGCCCCTTACAGCTCCCTGGGTTCTGCTGACACCTGCACTGCCCTTTCCCAGAGGTGCCCATCTCACCCCCTCAGCCAAGAGGATTTTCCTGGTGCAAATGGTGCAACGTCCAGTGATGATGACTTTTATTCTCGTGGCTGAACTTCTTTGAGGGCACAATCTTTGAGTGCAAAGGTCATAGAATCATAGAATGGTTTGGGTTGGAAGGGACCTTAAAGATCATCTAGTTCCACCCCCCCTGCCCTGGGCAGGGACACCTCCCTGAAGAAAGCCTGGTGCTTCAAAAACTGATTGTAATCAGATGCTTGTACTGTGGTAATGCCCTACTGCTGGTGTTCCTGGCCTGGAGGTGGTCCTGCCATCCTGGTTGTTCTAGGGATGTGAGCTCAGAGATCTGGGTGGGCACAGGCACCCGAGGCAGAGACAGGCTGGACCCAGCCCCCCCGGGGATCCCCACAAGCAGGCAGAGTGGGAGCAAACAACCCGGCCGTACCCCACGCTCGGTATCAGCCTCTGGATCCAGCCCCGAGCTTCTCTCTGCTCCTTGGATCCCTGCAGGAGGACACCCAGGCTCTACAGAGACCCCATGCCCCTTCCCTACCTCCCAGCGCCTTAAAACACCCTGAGCTCACGGGAGGGACCCCACCAGCTCCTCAGCACAACCGAGGGACACGACAGCCCCAGGCTCCACACCCGCCGTGCAGGCAGGACAAGATGGGTGCAACCAGAGAATCATTCAGGTTGGAAAAGACCCTTGGGATCATCAAGTCCCACCACCTACCCTGCTCTACAAAGTTCTCCCCTACACCATACCCCCCAACACCACATCTAAACGACTCTTAAACTCATCCAAGGATGGTGACTCAACCACCTCCCTGGGCAGCCTGTTCCAGTGTCTGACCACTCTTTCTGTGGAGAATTTCTTCCTAATGCCCAGTCTAAACCTGCCCTGTTGCAGCTTGAATCCATTCCCTCTTGTTCTATCGCTAATTACCTGGGAGAAGAGACCAGCACCAACCGCTCTTCAACGTCCTTTTGAGTAGTTGTAGAGTGATGAGGTCTCCCCTCACCCTCCTCTTCCTCAAACTACACACTCCCAGCTCCCTCAATCACTCTTCCCACCATTTGTTCTCCAGGCCCTTCACCTGCAAGGCGCTCTCTAAAGAAGCCCTGTGACACCAAACCCCTCCTCCTCCTCCACCGATGCTGGACAAGCTGCCAGGCCCAAGGAGATGAAGGCGGCTGTGTCTCCGAGGGCTGAAGGACCCCAGGGGCGCTCAGAGGGTTGTGGTGACAAGAGGAGGGACGAGAACGGGGACGGGGGGCTCCCAGGGGGAAGGTGCCGTCGGAGTGTTCACTCGCAGCACGTTTTGAAGACCGGAGCCAAAACCAAGCCCCGGGCCGGTGGGGAACAACCCCCCCCACCCTCCCTCCGCAGGACGCGGTGCTCACACGGTCAGCGGGGACACGGCGGAGCGCGCACAAACCCACCGTCCCCGGTAATTCCTCCGCACCCCGCCCCCGCGGGACCGTTCCCAGCAGCGGGGAGGAGGCTCCCAGCTCGGGGAGGAGGCTCCCAGCGCCTCACGGGGCGGGCGCGCCTCAGCCCTGCCCACGGCGGACCCCGGGCAAACGACCCCGGGCAAACGACGCCGGCCTCGCCCCCGCCGCCATATGCACCGCCGCCTCGCTCACGTGACCGCCACCCCCTCACGTGACCGCCGGGAGAGGGGGCGGGCTGAGGTGCTCTCCGCCACCCGCGATTGGTGGAGGGGCGTGGGGGGCGGCGCGGCGATTGGTGGATCGGACCGCCCATCGGCGGCGGCGGCGGGCAGCCATGGCGGCGGGGCGGTGGGTGCTGCGCTGGGCCCTGGCGGCGGCAACGGCCGTGGCGGCGACGCTGGCGCTGGACAATGGGCTGGCGCGGACACCGCCGATGGGCTGGCTGCAAGTTGGGGCGGGGGGCGGAGGGGGGGGGTACAGGCCGTAGGGGAGCCCAGGTACCGGTGACAGCCGGCCCGGTGCGCTGCTCTGCGGCGCTGTCACCCGGTGTGCCCTCCCTGTGGCAGGGCGGAGAGCCAGCCGGCGGCAGGGCCTTGCCCGCCCGCCTCCGCCGCCGGTGCGCTCCCGGTCGGTGGCTCAAAAACCGGGCCGCCACCTTCCTTCTCCCTTTTCTTTCCCGTGCCCCAGCGAGCAGCTCTTCGTGGAGATGGCCGACGTGATGGCGGCGGAGGGCTGGAGGGAGGCGGGGTACG